GCCGGAAGCCCGTACTGTGCCCCGCCCCATCCGGCACCAGGTTAAGGAAAGAAGGGGCCGTCAGGAAACAAGGACATCTCCTTTAGATCTGTTAAGGTGACACCAGATCTTAAGAAGCCTGCCAAGAGGGATGAGCATTCTAAGGACTGCCTGAATGGGGCACTAAGCAAGCATCAAGCAAGCTCCAGGAGGGAAAGCAAGCAAGGCTGGAGCCGCAGGGAAAGCAGGCTGCAAAGGGATGTGATCTTGGCCTTTAGGATGTCACTACTGTCACTTTGAGCATCAAAGAAACCACAAGCACTGAGGACTTCAGCACCATTTGCTGTAGTCACAGACCTCCCAAACATTTTCCCCCTGCTAGGGGAACCTTGGTTGCAGAATCTGGGCAACTGGATCTGCTGACTCAAATGCAGCATAAACTGACTGCAGGAGATAAGAAGGGACAGGACACCCCCCCCCCGCCCCAACAGAGTTCAGGAATGGAAAGACGGGGCTCAACTAACCAGCTGGTATCTGCAGAGCTCACCAACCCCACTCTGCTCCAAATTTTCCTGGGCCCGACCCACGGTCTGCTCTGACCACATCAGATCTCTGTTCCCTGTAAGTTAAGTGGGGCTAATACAACAATCATAACAGAACGCTGTGGGACAGGATCATATTTAACAGTTCTGTATATCTTGCTAACCTTTGTCAGCTTCAAGTCAAGAAAGAATAAACTATCATTGGAACCAATTCACATCCTAAAGTTACTTCCAGTGAAAACTGGAATTCATAGAGTAAAACTGTGGTCAGAGACAGAGGCAGTTTTATGGAGTTTTTTTCTTTATTGAGAAACGTAAGACTTGGGTACATCAAATAAAACCAGTTTCTGGGGGAAAAATCAAAACCCACAATAGAAAAAAAAAAAAGTTAACACTGTCTGGGCCACAGCAGAACCCAGAGAACATATTCGTATAATTGAAAAATTCTAGGTGTTTCATAATTGACCTTTTGATACAAAATGACCTATTAAATTTGCAATTTGTAATCGTTGGTGTTGAGGTCCATAGGACAAGCTAGAAGTCTTCAAACCTTGAGCTGAATTCCGTAAGGGGTTATTTGGCTTTTGAATCCTGTAAAGAAAAGCACCAACACAAATAAATGCATAATCAAATAATTTAGATTCATTAACATCTAGTGGATAAAGGAAGGTATTCTAGAAGAGAAATTTCTCAACCTCAGCACTATTGACACTTCGGGCATTCTGTTGGTTCTGTCCTCCTGTGTAGTGTACGATGTTTAGCAGCATCTCTGGTCTTTACCACTAGACGACAAGGCTCCTGAGGCCCTTGACAAGAGGGTCATGACTATGCCAAGTCAACCCTCCCAACACACCAGCTCACCAGCTCTGGTTCTTACCACGTGCTTTCTCCTTAGCTCATTTTACTCTCTTCTTTCCCTATCTGGAGACACCTACCACCATCAACCAGTATTAGTTAACCTTTATTCACTCAAGCCCCTGCAGACAAAGTCCACAGTCCTTACAAGAAGTCACCTGCAACATACTCCATGTAACTACTTATTGTATTCCCAGAGCTAAGCAGTGAGCATATATACAACCTCAGGTCAAACCACGAAGACAATGCTCATAGGAACAAAAATGAAAAGAGCCACACATACGGTTTTTCCTTGTCTAAGAGGTAGCAGCAGCAACAGCGCCCACCTTCTGGGCAGCTTCTTTCTTGGCATGATGAGCCTGTAGAACTGCTACAGCTTCATCTACCTGCAAGAAATCTTCAGGTGGTCAGTGAATCTAGGAGAGCTACTCTACCCCTCCCTAGTGCCCAGACTTAGTAGTGGACCAAAGCCAACCGTACAGATGATCCCTAGGCTTCTGGTGCTAACTACTTTCCCAAATACCCACAGCAGCCTCTAGTCACAGTCAAGGCATGACGAGAAGGGTCCTGGGGGCAGCAGACCCCACTCTCTGCTGCACCTGGGTGTCCAAGTTTGCCCCCAATCTTCCCAAGCTGAGAGCTGAAGCTGCAGGGTCTTCGACCCAGCTCACCTTGGAGCGGAGAGACTCGGGGGACTCTAACATGTGCAGCAGCTCAGAGTTGTCGATCTCCAGCAGCATTCCCGTGATCTTCCCAGCCAAGTTTGAATGCATTGTTTGGATGAGTGGGAACAAGCGTTCTCCTATGGGGAGGGTAGTTAATAAAAAACCAAATCAAATCCCAGTAAACAATGGACACTGGTGTCCTAGTTGGCACCAGGCTCTGGGCCTCTTCTTCTGCAAGGAAGTGGGTCACTCACCCAGCATCTGCTTCTGTTCCTGGGGGGGTGCTGCAGCCAGCATGGAGGCAGTCAGTGGCTCCTGCCCCTGCACATGGACCGCAGGCTGGGGTGCCTGGGAACCAGGAAAGGCAGTGGGTTAGCACGGAGGAAAGGACAGCACTTGATGGTGGTTGAGCGCCTGTTCAGTATCTGAACATCTGACTATGTGAAAGAGGAGAGGAGGTGGTGGGCCTTGCTCTAAAGGAACTAATTTCAGTCCTTGAAGGATTGACGGATGTGGTGAGGAACAGAGGGGTATGGACATAAACACAACCAATTACAATGAAAATGGAATGCTATCAGAAAGCGAAGTGAAAGGTAAATAATAAAACAAACTTATAGCACTAGGCAAGCATTTTCTGACATTTCCTTAATGCACCCACAGTTACTCAAGAATGAAAAGCCTTGTTATAAATAAGGGTAAAGTGAACATTTGTATATAAGCTTTTCCTGAAAATTACTCTTTTCCTTTAGGGTAAATCTCAGTGCAGACTGGATCAAAGGGTGTAAATATCAACACATTTATAATTACATTCCACATCACCGTAACTGTACCAAATGTTCTTGTATCAAATGCTAAAAACTGTCAACATGCAATGTCAATGCTAGTCAAAGCCTTGCAAAGAAAAGGTATTTTACATAGCATCAAGTTCTAAGAAATCCCCAACTCAGAGAGTATGAGACAGGACAGTTAAAGAGTAATCTACTAAGCAGCTTATGGGCCTGAGGGCTTAGGGTGATACCTCCATGGCAAATTGCTATTAAGCTCTGAAACAAACTAGTTGCATCTACAGCACAGGTCTAGAGACTGCAAGTTACCGCTTAGAAAATCGAAGCTCTAGGTTCAACCCCTTCCCCTCCTACACACACTTTACATCTTTGAAGCTGAACATCCGATCTGTAAGTTGAAGTTATTTCCTGCCTTAATGTACCAATCATCTTGCAGAGCAGCCAAGGATCCAATAGGTCACTGGATGTGGAAGTGACCTGGAGGCTCAAAGAGCTGAGTGAGCACATTATTCCGTACAAAGAGAGCAGGAAGCACTGGCTGCCCCCTGTGAGGCATTTCTGAGTGAACTGGCATCAGGCAGAGCACTTTTAAGCCCCTTCTCTCCCACTAGTGAGCCCCTAAAGGGCAGGGACAATGAATCAGAACATAGCGTCATAACACAGAGCAGGCATTTAATACCTGTTGAAGGAATCAAAGCAAAGCTTCTTTTACATCAAGTGGAAATGGGGGAAATCCTTTTAAGCATTCTGTCTGGTGGACCTCACCTGCAGAGGCTGTATGGCAGGATGAGGGCTGCGGACACTGGAGGCGTATTTGTAGGGGGCAACAGCACGGGGAGCAGCAGCGGCAACAGCAGCGCGTGGCGCTAAGTTCTGCACAGCTGTGGGAACGCCTTAGGGAAAGAACAAATACAATTAAAGCCCATCAGTCTGGGCAAAGACCCGTCAAATCCCATCTTTCCCCCTTCTGTGTGCATCCAATACCACCTCCAGACTGGCAGCTGTCAGTCAGCCCTTGCTGGGCGGCACCAGCCCCACCAAAGTCCATAGCCAAGCGGTCCGGGCACTCAGACCCTACAACAGACCAGCAAATGCACATCAGTGTTGGCAGCAGATGTCCAACTGGCCACGTCCCACGGAAGGAGAAATTTCAAAGCACGTTTACGCAACACATTGCACAGGGGGCCACTACTACTTTCGAGGATGAGCCAAAGGATAACATACAACTCTTTCCACATCTTGGAATACAGGACATATTCTGTACGAGCTGTTTCCTCGTATTCCTCACCCCACCCAAAAGAACAGGCTGCCTCTGTAGTCATCCAGCTAGCAAACTTCTACAACTAACTTTTTCACGAGTCACCGATGAGCAAAGAATGTTAAAAGCAACTGACACACCTAGAACTCATATTTCTCTACTCTTGAAGTGGCCACCTAAGCACACAGCTAAGATTACAGAACCAGGACTCAATAAGAGCCCAACAAACTGACCAACCCAGGGCAGAGCCTAGTCATCCTGACTCCCTCCTCCCCGGGCCACACTTCTAAAGGCCAGTTTGCTCACCGACTCTCTGAGTGGTAGTAGGGAGGCCACGAGAGGCCGGAGCATTACCAGTTGGAGCCAGATGGCGAAGAGTTGGACGAGGCCCAGACTGGCGTATAGCACTTGGCATTCCTTGGAAGCCTGGTGAAGAGAAAAAATTGCACATCACTAAGAAGTGATGTGGACCAGAACCTAGGCTATGCCTCAAAGCAGGGAAACAGAAAAGGCAGGGGAGACCAGGATAGGTGTATCCTAGGCCGTCAAATCACTGTTCCCCACCACCTACCTTGAGGTCTCCCACCTTGCTGCCAGCGTGGATTAGGCCTCATCTGCGCTAACTGGTTAGGTGTATAATATGGAGGCCTTCCCTGAGCCTGTAAGACAGAAGAATACCCAAACACCCTCTTAAGGACTGAACCACCCTAGAAATATCTCATCTCACTAACCAGGACCTAAGCTAATTATTTAAATGTTCTTTCTATTCAAAAGCTGAGGGGTCAGCTAATGGGGACTGTTTTACTCTACCACTGCCACTGTGGGTGTGTGTGTATGTGACCATGGGTAAGTCCTTCATTTTTACTTGAAGGTTCCATACTCTGACATTCTAGAACTCTAATAACGAAAGATCCTTCTCCCCAACCACTGCAGAATACTGCCAGCAGGCAGGTTCCCAAGAGCTGTGACCAAACAGCACACCCACCTGTGGGACTGCTGGCACGAAGTAGCCACCCGCCGCAGGCTGGAACTGATTTAAGATGGCATTGGCAGGAAGTGCTCTCATTCCAGCCACTCGTTGCATATACTGGTTGGTCAGGTGAGCCTTTCTCTCTTCCTTCCTCTGGGCCAGGGCAACATATAGTGGCTTGGAGCCCACAATGCGTCCATTCATCTCAGTGACTGCTTTGGTTGCCTCTTCAGGAGATGAGAAGCAGACGAAGCCAAACCCTTTGCTTCTTCCATCCTCCAGCATTACCTACAAAATGAGACCAGCTACTTAAAAAATAAGGTGTCCTTGGCTGGGTGTGGTGGCTCGTACCTGTAATCCCAGCACTTTGGAAGGCCAAGGTGGGAGGGCTGCTTCAGCTCAGGAGGTTGAGACCAGCTTGAGCAATGTACTGAGACCTCATCTCAAAAAAACAAAGGTCCAGGTGTAGTGGCTCATGCCTGTAATCCCAGCACTTTGGGAGACCGAGGTGGGTGGATCACGAAGTCAGGAGTTCAAGACCAGCCTGAACAACATGGTGAAACCCCATCTCTACTAAAAATACAAAAATTAGCCGGGCATGGTGGCACACACCTGTAATCCCAGCTACTCAGGAGGCTGAGGCAGGAGAACTGCTTGAACCCGGGAGGCAGAGGTTGCAGTGAGCTGAGATCACGCCACTGCACTCCAGTCTGGGCGACAGAGCGAGACTCCATCTCAGAAACAAAACAAAACAAAAAACCCAACCAACCAACCAAACAAACCAAAACAAACCCACAAATAGGAAAAAAAAGATGTCCCTGGGTGGGAAGGGAACTATTCAGAAGAACCAGAAAGCCTGGGTTATGCTGCAGTCACTGAGCCTAGGTCAGGGGTTCAAAACTGGCATAGGATTTACCCCAGACCAACTAAGTCACAACCTCTAAGGCATTTTCTTTAAGTCCCCAGGTGATGCTAAAGTTCCGAAACACTATGATATGGCTAATGGTAAAACCAGGAACTCAAAGATGTTTCCTGATACCTGGTGGATAGCTACCCCTGGGTAACCACAAAACATCTCGAGGGTAGTGTTGAGCAATTTATTTTCCAATCTCATCTGCTCCAAGACCTCGGTGGACAAAACTCTTAACAAGTTCTTAGCAACATCAGGATAACACTTTAGGAATACCACATGTGGACAGGAGTCATAAAATGTTCAGGTAATCAATGACTACCACCATTAATTCAACGAGATGGCCAGCTTAGAGATAGGTGCCTAGATCCTAGTCTTACTTGCCCTCCTGAGGCTCAATTTCCATGAAATACCCCAAACAGCTGCAAAACCACAGGTCTACTGGTTCAGGCAGTCTTCTTCCACATTAAGTTCATCATTCACAAATTGCATTTTTCCTTATTTGAAAAGGTTATTCACTGTCTTCTCTGGTGTGACTGTCATTGTTTTATGTCTTAGTTAATGGCCCAGAGAGCCTCCTGAAGTGGAGAATAGGGACGTAAAGATGTGCATCACTCCATAACTCTCTACCAATTAGGTAGGCCAGTATGTATGTGAAAAAAAATGCCACACCATCATCTTGAAAATGGTGACAATTCAAGGTATGGCTTTTTTGCTCTCTTAACAAAGTGCAACTTGACTACTAGGCAGATAAGCAAGGAGAGAAGATCATTCCTTACACTGATGGGGTCCAATCAAGGGGGTCATAGCAAAAAGGAAAGGGTAAGAACTGGGCAAACCCACACTTGGCCTCTGGCCAACTCCCTACTACAACTAATAACATTGCTTTCCACATTCCCAGGTTGGGGGCAAATTCCCCTAAGAGCCAGGGCAGGGCCACTATGCCTTTAGAACAGCCCACATGGCTTCCCTTCTCATCAACTAAAGGATTTTGTGGCATCTGGTACACCTCTGTTTAGCAAGACCGGAGTCTGCATCAGGCCATAACCCAAAATGTTCAGATGCCACCAGCTTCCATCCTGCTCCCAAAGTGCTAAGGACAAACAGTACACCATCCCCATGTAGTCAGCAATCTCTTGTTCAAGGACTAAAATTCCTTATCTTTAAAATGAGGTTCCTACTTATCCTGCTAACTTAGTTGATGTGATTATCAAAGAAAATCAAGCAAATGATGCACACTACGAAACACGGAAAAACCTTCCGCTCCCCTTTCCTCTCTAAGACCAGGGTAGAAGTTCCCAAGCCCACTCCCAAAATCTTTAAAATACCTTCATTCTCAAGGAGAAAATGTGGCAGAGCTGTAGAGACAGGTCCCAAGACAAATGGAAAATAACCTGTCTGGATTTCCTCTGCTCATTCTGTAGCACCATCTGTCCCCACACCGGCACGAGGCAGCAAGGAATGGGAAAGATTCAGGTGCTCTGGGTTGGCTGGGAGGGGCTGGGCCAAATTCCTCTCCAGACTCCAGTGCTTGGGAAACAGTGTAATGCTAACCTAATGAAATGCCATTCTCCAAAATGTATCCAGAAGTTTTGCTGGAAAAACGTAGTAGCTACTTTCAGAAATGAACATAATTTAAATGCTATTCCTTCAATGGAACAAATGCCAATAAACCTATAATGGAATACTACTGCTTTCAATCTCCAAATCTCAGTATTATAATACCTTAGCACTGGTAATTGATCCAAAAGGAGAAAATTCTTTCCTTAATTTCTCATCATCAATAGTGTCATCCAAGTTCTTAATGTAGAGATTCACTCCCTGAAGGAAAAAGATCACTGTTAATTGCATTTCTATACCACAAATATTCCCTTAGAAAGTGGTTCCCAAAGGGTAGCTCCCAGACCAGGAGCACCAGCATCTTTGGGAACTTGTTAGAAATGGAATTCTCAGCTGGGCACAGTGGCTCATGCCTATAATCCCAGCACTTTGGGGAGGCCGAGGTGGGTCAATCACAGAGTCAGGAGATCGAAACCATCCTTGCTAAAAGGCTGAAACCCTGTTCTCTACAAAAAATACAAAAAATTAGCCAGATGTGGTGGCGGGCGCCTGTAGTCCCAGCTACTCGGGAGGCTGAGGCAGGAGAATGGAGGGAACTTGGGAGGCGGAGCTTGCAGGGAGCCGAGATCGCACCACTGCACTCCAGCCTGGGCAACAGAGCGAGACTCCATCTCAAGAGAAGGAAAAAAAAAGAAAAAAGAAATTATCAGGCCAGACCCCAAACCCAGTGAACCAGAAAAACTCTAGGGCTGGAGCCCAGCTATCTGTTTTAACAAGCTCTGCTGGTGATTCTGATGCAAGCTCAAAGTTGTGAAACTACTGCCCTGAAACTGACAAGGATCATCAGTGCAGTCACCTTTTGTCACCTCTCCCCACAGCTGCTGTGGTGACCACTCACCCCCTACCCCAGCAGGGGTCTTCTTGAAGCCATGCCAAACAAAGGAGGCTCATTTAAGTAAAAGGAATCTACATGGCTAGCAACAGGCTGAGGCTTCCAGAATAGAGAGCTTCTTGATGAATAAACTCATTTCTCTTGTTTCTGGTTCTAAAATAATCACTGTCATGTACGTAGTAGGTAAATATCCTTTTAAACCTAATCTTCTTGGGGGAAATGGGAAGAACAGACTCCAAATCCCCAAAAAGAAAGCCTGCTAAACATAAGGGTGTTCTGCAAATATTTCACAGCAAATCCCATTGCTAGGCTGGGCCAAGACCACCTTACCTGATATCGACTAATTCTCTCCTGTTTCAGCTGCTCAAATTTCCGTTTTAACTCTGCCTGCCGTTCTACTTTCTTTTGTGCACGGCCTACAAATATTATTTTACCACTTATTTCTTTTCCATTCATCTCTTCCACAGCCTAGAGAGGAAAAATGTCTTTAAAATAAAGTTGCAGTGATGGGGTCTTATTCCAGAGGTCTAAGTCCCAACAAGTATTCTTTCTACTATAGGACTAAAAACTAAATTCATTCCACCTCTGAAGTCTGTCACACAAATCCAAACTTCCTCATCTGTAAAATGAGGTTAATATTTAAATAGGTTATTGATCCAGATAATATAGAAATAGCACAGGTGTATAAACACAAGTGTGCTGACATGAGCCCAGGGCGATATCATCTTCTGGCTGCCAGTAAATTCTGCAGGTGCTTTTGTGGGTATTTAAGTGATATATGTTGAGGGTCTGGCACAATGCTTTGCCCACAAGTAGCTGCTGTGCTGTTATGAAATCAGCACTCACTGGGCTTTAGTTCTCTCACCTTTGCAGGGGAACAAACATCTGTCCTATTCTTTCAACAACTGACAGCTGAGGTGACAGGTATGTGCCAAGTGCTTTGTGAACACCTACATGATGTTAACATGTGGAACCCAGGAAGATGATCCCAGAGTATAGTAATGGTACATCTACTACTAGATACTCAGACCATCCCAGCTCTAGCTAGGTGCTAGCAAGACTCTGCCCATACTCTGGGGCCACCTCTTACAAGTTTTTCCCAACCTTTGTGGTACACTCACCTTATTGGCATCCTCGTGTTTTTCGTAACTCACAAAGCCAAAGCCTTTGGATTTCCCACTGGGATCTCTCATCACCTTGACACTTAGGGTCTTACCTATTACCAAAGGACAGAACTATTAGTAACACCATCTCAAGCACAGCTCAAGGAGAGAAGGCTTCCCTCTGGAAACTCACTTGAAGCAAACTTCTGGAGCAGTGCCCTCATCTCTTAAGAAAGAAGAGATGGGTCTGTTGGACTGTGAAAGGGGACAAGGACCCTCAACTTACCAAACTGACTGAATAGCTCTTTCAGACTCTCATCATCCACCTCTTCCCCAAAGTTTTTGATATAAACATTGGTGAATTCCTTGGCTTTGGCTCCCAGCTCAGCTTCCCGCTCTTTGCGAGACTTGAATCTGCCCACAAATCTAAAAAGAAACCATGAAAAAAGTAATCACCCAGAGGAATAAAACATGATATCCAGGGACCCAAAGGAATACAAGTTAAAGGCTGACAGGAGAAGTTAAAACATGAGATCCCCATCCACCACCGAGGAGGCTCAGAGATACCCAAGTCCCCAGCAGAAAGAGAAAAAGGCAGGACTATCCTGTAAGGACCAGCCCCAGGGCTCCTGGCTTAGACCAGGGCTACTCCTACCACATCACACTGCCTTCATGAAGAAACCTGATGGCCATGTTTTTAAAACGTTCATTTCTGTGCAACTATGTAAATGCATAGAAAAGGTCTGGAAGGATACAAACCAAACTGTTAACAGTGGTTAATCCTAGGTATGAGATTGCTGGAGCGAAGGGGCACCCCTTCCTTTTTAAATTTATTTTGGTACTCTTATACTTAGAAGAAAATTTATCCATACACTGACATTTTTATATTTCTTTTTAGTGATATCTGTAGATCAACCACTGGACACACAGACATTATAAACATAACCCATCCTCTGGTATGCTGAATGACACAAAGGACAAAAAATATTTTGGCTTGTAATAGCCAAGACTTATTGTCCCTTCTTCTCCCCACATGGCTTTGCTAAGTTCCCCCTCTGCATTCTACAGTAACAACCACACCAAAGCAACAGGTCTGTTACGAAGTTTTTCTGCAAAGGGATGGGATTTTTCATTGTCACCAAGTATTACTGTGGAGCCAGCCTTGCATTAGGTCACTGAATCATAAGTCAGAAAATGGAGAACCGCGGGGACAATTTGGCATCAACCACTAGCGAGGGACCCATGGACAGACCTGAGTCACAGGAAAGCCAAGGTCACACTGCTAGTATACAGCTCCTGGTCAGTCCAGGGCCCTCTCCACTCTGCCGCTGGCCAAGACCCCGACTCAGAGTGAGCTTAGAGCTGCCTTCCAGCCAGCCCCACTTGTTGATGCTCACAAAACCCACAGACAGATGCCTTTAAGGGAGAGGCGGCAGGCAGGCCATGGCTTGGGCAGGAAGCCCACCTTGGCGAGTCAAAAGGGCTGCCACGGCTCAGGCAGGGAGACTCACCAGCCCTGGAGTGGAGAGGTAGGAGCAGGCCACACTTGGGCCGAGAACCAGTAGCCGCCTTGTGTGTGCCAGTTAATACCGAGGTGGGGCCACGGCTGGCTCATGCGATGGTTGTTGCTCCGGACTGGGACACTCACACTTTGCGGTCATTGAGGAGCATGCCATTCATCTTCTCGATGGCCTTGTCGGCAGCCTCTTGGGTCTCGAAGTGGACAAATGCATAACCCTTAGAGCCGTTCTCATCACACACCACCTGTCAAAGACAAGGTGGACCACTTTAGCACCACTGGCCAGCTCCTGAGACATGAGAACCTCAGGGTATCTTGTGCCTGAGAAGGCTCTGGCCCATCCATGGCCAAAGGTGGCCAAGTACACCAGTACAATTTTTCTCACACCTAGCACAGCACCAGGTACCTAGTAAGTGTTCCATTTACAAAGGTAGCCACTACTAGGCTTCTTCTATTCCAAATGTTTTCTTTTTATAAAAAACAAAACAAAACAAAAAAACAAAGAAAACACTTAAAATTGGGTGCTGTGGCTCATGCCTGTAATTCCAATGCTTTGGGAGGTCAAAGCAGAAGGATCATTGGAGCCAGGAGCTGGAGGCCAGCCTATGCAATGGAGAGAGACCCTGTCTCTACAAAAAATAAAAAGATTAACTGAATGTGGTAGCACATGCCTGTAGTCCCAGCTACTTGGGAGGCTGAGGTGGGAGGATGGCTTGTGCCCAGGAGATCGAAGCTACAATGAGCTATTACTACACCACTGCACTCCACCCTGGGTGACAGACAGAGCAAGACCCTGTCCCTTTAAAACACAACAACAACACATTTTAAGAGATCTGGGTGCAAACCACAGTGCTGCAGAAGACAAAACATTTTCCAAGGCCACAACAGATTTTCAGTGCAGTATGGCGTTAAACACCTACACCACCACTGTTTAAGTTTTAAAGTGCTCAGCATAAAACAGATACATAGAAGGAACAGAGTGAATTTATGCTTCTAACGTGATTAAGTTTCCTGAAGACTAGAGACACTTCTCTGGTCCTCTCCTTTCCCCCATCCCAAAAGAAAAACCTGGGGCTTTCCAAGGCTAAAGAACAGGAAAGATATTTCAGGCTGAGGAAAGAACAAGGGTATGAAAACGTGTGCTGGTTACGCTGGGTGTGGCCCTGAGACTACCCATGGGAACTTTTAGAATTCCATGTCCAGCATTTTGAAAATTCCTGTATCCTGATGCCAAGGTAGTTTTCCATTTGGTATTTATCTTGTTTTTGAGAATCAATTATTCTGCTAAAATCATTTAATCAATGTTTACCTTGCAGGATAGAATGTTTCCAAAAGCAGAAAAAGTATCATAAAGTGCCTTGTTATCTATAGATTTGTCCAGGTTCTTGATGAAGACATTTCCCACACCAGATTTTCTCAAAGAGGGATCCCTCTGAGACCACATGATGCGGATTGGCTTTCCCTTAATCACATCAAAGTTCATGGTGTCCAAAGCCCGCTCAGCTGTAAGAGAGAAACACATTTCAATAAGGAGAGAAAACGTCAGCTCCCACAGGCCAACATCCTAAGAACAGATTACTACAGGACTTTTCAAGGTAATCACTCTTGATAAAAGGCAACTCTATTAAAATAAAAGGGCATCAGATTCCTCCAGCCTGCACTGTTAGTAAGGGTAGAATAAGTTCCAGCTAATGACTCTACTTCATGACAGAAGTCTAAACGCCCTTCTGGGTCTGTGCCCTTGTTGGATAAAGGGGCCATAAATAAAGATAATCTAAATGGCCTTAATGACACCAAGATCCAATGATAATACCTCACATTTGACTAAGCTTTACTATTTGGAAGACTTTGCAGACTGCCACCCACCATGACTCAGGTGGGACAGCTGAAATTATACATTTTACAAAATGAACAAACTTATGTTTAGGGTGACTAAGCTGTGCAGCTAGCTAGTGATTAGGAAACTAATACTAGATTATCTGATTTATTTTTCAGTGAGGTAGTGCATCAAAGTTATCAAGTCATTTAGTCTGCAATCCATCTACGGAGACAAGCAACTAAACGTATGAGCAAATGATCTGGAAAAAAAAAAAGGTGCTATCCCTGAATTCAGAATTCAGTCCAATTTCTTTTATTTTCAGTTTCTGAGAATAAAAATCCAATCACCAAAATGGATACAACTGATCACACATGGAAAAGTTCTCTGTACTATCACAACAAGGATTAAACCACCATACCTTCTGCCTAAGCAGACAGCACGCAGATGGTAGGCCCGGCATCTACCTTTTGAAGCCTTAATCGAAGTTCTGTAGAATTCTAGGACTTCAGCCACCCTGGGTGCCCAACCAACTTCCCCATCCAGTGCCTTGGAAAGCTTCTGTAGCTTCCCAACTAAGTCCATATGTGCACCAGAGACAATTTAAAGAACCAAAAGCTGGGCCGGGCATGGTGGCTCACTCCTGTAATCCCAGCACTTTGGGAGGCTGAAACAGGTGGATCACCTGAGGTCAGGAGTTCGAGATCAGCCTGACCAACATGGTGAAAGCCCATCTCTACTAAAAATACAAAATTGGCTGGGTGTGTGGTGGGCGCCTGTAATCCCAGCTACTCAGGAGGCTGAGGCAGGAAAATCGTTTGAACCCGGAAGTCAGAGGTTGCAGTGAGCTGAGATCGTGCCATTGCACTCCAGCCTGGGCAACAAGAGCGAAAACAAACAACAACAAAAAGAACCAGAAGCTAAAATATACCACCACCTGCCAGCCAAAACACTTCTCATCACTAATCGCAACAAGGATCCCCAGATCTGGTGGCCACTTTTCCTTAAGGCTGTGACGACATCTCCTATCGGTGACATTACCCAGAACCTCCTCCATGAGGGGATTTAGACAGGGTCAGAGCAGTGGAATCTGCTCCTTGCCTCAAGGCAACATCTCACTTAAGGGGGGGGACAAAATTCCCCAACTCTGACGCTCCACAAGCTCAACTGTTTCTTTAACCAGGAGAATTTATTTTCACTCATTATTTCCAACAAACTTCCCCACCCCCTTCAGAAGGTGGGCTCATCTGTATGGGGGGCAGTTGGGAAAAGGGGAGATGACAAGACAGATCCAAGTCAGGAACAGTCCAGGAAAGGAGGAGTTTGCTTGTGATGGCGATCAGAGATAGATAGCTGGGATCGCAAACTATTTCATTAATTAGCAGTAAAGGAGCCCATTTCAACACAGCTCCTCGTCTATTTCCAGACAGCACTGCACAAGGCAAGCCGGCTTAGTCTGACAAATCTGGCTGCACTTATTTATAGCAGGGAGAAGTCCTGCAGAAGTATGTGTTGGCAGACACACTGACCAATGGCTTCTGCTATCTCTAAGTGACATGACTTTTGTTCAAAAGTCAAGAAGGCAGACAACAGCTAATGTGGTACATTATCCCTTAAAAAGACCACACTCAGCTACCTTCTTTGCGCTCCTATAGCCATAGACAGAACTCAGCTTGGAGCATACTGGGTTGACGGTAGCAATACCTAGTTCCTCTTAACATGTCCAATTCTCTGGTCTCAGCTGCAACCTGGGCAAGTAGTAACTCTGGGCCTCAGACAGAAAACAAAGTGGGGACCTCAAAACTAGCGACCTGGAGATCCTTTGCCATAGCATGGCTTGTTTCTCCCAGTAATGATCTCTGCAGTTGTTCCCTTCTAATCTGGAGTCACGTGCAGCCTCTGATCAGATTTCCTTTGGCCTCACTCCTGCCACGCCTGCAACATACCTCTCTCCATGCTAAGGCCACTATCTGAGGTGGCAGAGCACTGTGCTGGGAGTCCCAACTTGGTTTCCAACTTTTTGCATTCCTTTTCCTTCTCAGGAGTCCCATTTTCTTCAGATTAAATGAAGTAAAAGGGCTCTGACGAGTGCAAACCACTGTTACAGCTGAGGTGACAAATGCCACCAGATTTTCAAGTGACGCTTCCCCAAACTACCTCCACAACACTCTTTACAGCACAGAGCCTGGATACCATTTGTCCAGCGCAAAGCACTTCTCCACTCCAGTGGCAAACACACAGACTAAGGAGCTGGCCTGGCACACGCAGCTCCTGTGGCACTAACCTAAATCTCTGCTAGTTTAACGCACAGAAACCTTCCCCCTGCTTCCTGCCTGCCCTGACCCATCCTTTATCAGCACAACATCAGGTAGTCAAGGTTAGTAAAGGTGGCAGAGCGGGCAGGAACTCTACAATGTAGAACTTTTGCGGGAATTGTGTTTCAAACGTCCCTCCTTTTTGGCCAGCCTGTGAAGGGCACAAGCAAGGGTCTGTAACAGCCCAGCCCCACTGACAAGGACCACACACAGTGGAATGCCAGTGGCTTCACTCTAATCCTGTTTTACAGTTTCCTTGGTTTCCAACCCTACTACCAGCAACACCAGTAAGTAGCCCAAGGTCACCCAGTTAGCAAGTGGTAGAAACAAGATTGAAACTCGAGTCATCTGATGCCAGGTCTGCGTTCTCAATCTCTGCACCCTGCTCCAAGCTTCGGTGGCAACATGCTGTCGTGATGCTGCCCTCCTTGGCAGGAGGGCCCTGCCAGAAGACGACTCCCGGGGTCCGCCGGGCTCCCACGCACGTGTGGGCACAGCTTCTACTCACCGTCGGCCGGCTGCTGGAAGTTGACGTAGGCATAGCCCAGGGAGCGGCGGGTGATCATATCGCGGCAGACCCGGATGGACAGCACAGGCCCCGCGGGGCTGAACTTTTCGTACAGCATGGCCTCGGTGACGTCCGAGTGCAGGTCGCCCACGTACAGGGAGGCCATGGGGTAGCTGCTGGCCGCAGCGTTCATCTCCCCGCCCCCCACCACCCCGAGCCCCGCCAGGAGGACTTCTTATCGGGCCCGCCGCAGGACAAAAGGGGCGCCCTCAGAGCCCGGGCCCGCGCCGCGGCTCACAGGTGGCACCGGGGCGGCGAGGACGAGCTGGAGTCGGCGGGCTCGGAGATGGGACGGAAACGGGAGGCGGGGGCCGGCTCCCACGGCCGCGGCACCGCAGACAAAAGGCTCTCCGCACAATACGGCCCTCCCCACGACTTTGCACTTCTCCGCGGTCCTGGTGCGAAGCTCCAAATTTCAAAAAATCAAAGTAGGAAAAAAATTAAACGGGGAATCCCCTTCCGAACGGTAAAAATCCTTTAAGAGGCGACCGGACGCTACCCACGGCGGCCCCGGGGACACGCGTTTCTCTATAAATATAGGCCTCGGGCTCCGGCGGTTTAAGATTACAACCGCCGGGGCAGAGGGAAACCAAATCTTTGTGGGCGCCGACTCGGCGAGCCCCGGGCGGGCGGCGAAGGGCAGCGCGGACACGTGGTGCGCCGGGGCCGGCGCGGGGCTCGGGCCCGAGCGTGGGGAGGGCGCGACGGGCCGGGCGGGCGGCTCACCCCCGGACCGATGGACGGAGACCGACGGACGCCAAGCGCGGCGGCGGCGGGCGCGGGGCAGGCCGGAAGCGTGCGAAAGTGACTTCCCCGCGGGTTCTCCGAGGAGGATTCGCTTTTTCTTTTCCTTTTTTTTTTTTTCAGGATTTTGAAGCGTTTTCGGATTTTTTTTTATCTTTTTCTCTTTTTTTCCTCAGGCTGCGGAGCCCGAAAGCGGCGCAGGCGGCAGCGACCCGGGGCGGAGAGAGGCGGCCGAGGGAGCCACCGCTCCATTTATACCCGCCCGCCCCGGGCGCTGCTGGTCGAAGGGCGCCTCGCGACCTGGGCGCAGTCGTGCCCGCCCACTCGGCCCGGGGGCCCGAGGCGGGGCGGCCACGCGAGAGCGACCCGGCGCGGCCGCGCGGCGCCACAGCGACCCCTGGCGCGCGGAGGACCGCCTAAGCTCGCGGTTGCAGGAGACCCCCAGGGCCCCTTTCTATAACCAATGAATCTTAAGACCCTCCTACCCATCACCCGGGAATGGAACCTAGAAGCCATTTAACTCGCACACACGCATGAGGTTTAAAATTAAATGGTATGGGGCCGGGCGCAGTGGCTCACGCCTGTAACCCCAGCACTTTGTGAGGCCGAGGTGGGTGGATCATGACGTTAGGAGATCAAGACCATCCTGGCTAACAAGGTGAAACCCAGTCTCTACTAAAAATGCAAAAAATGAGCCGGGCGTGGTGGCACGCGCCTGTAATCTCAGCTACTCAGGAGGCTGAGGGAGGAGAATCGCTTGAACCCGGGAGGCGGAGCTTGCAGTGAGCCGAGATTGAGCCACGGCACTCCAGCCTGGGCAACAAAGCGAGGCTCCATCTAAAAAAAAAAAAAAAAAATTAGATAGTAAGCCTAATTGTGAAATGAAGGTGACATAAAATAAGTTAAAGTAATAGGTGGTCCAATAGGTAAATGTTTGTGAAGTTTTCAGAATACTGTTGGCGTAGAGGTAGAATCGTCAAGAGCTGGAAATGCAAGCAGTATCCATGGGTGATGGGATTTTCTGAAAAGATGAGCACATTTTGGTAAAGCTTCAATGAAACCAAACACAAGCATCCCTTCTATTGACATGCTGGTGGCATTCCCGGACATTTAGTTTGTATTTAAGGGCCCAGAAATACTTTCTACTCCTATGTTTAAAGTTTCTTATACGCTTGGATAATTATAAAAAGACTTTTCATCTGCATCAGGGTCTGGCAGGTCATTTGAAAGTCATATCACTTGCCAGGCTCAAGCCTGTAATCCTAGCACTTTGGGAGGCCGAGGCAGGTGGATCACCTGAGGTCGGGAGTTCGAGACTAGCCTGACCAACATGAAGAAACCCCTGTAATCCTAGCTGCTCAGGAGGCTGAGGCAGGAGAATCGCTTGAACCGTGGAGGCAGAGGTTGCGGTGAACTGAGATAATGCCATTGCACTCCAGCCTGGGCAACAAGAGTGAAACTCCGCCTCAAAAAAAAAAAAAAAAAAAAAAGGTCATATCACTTTATGGGACTATGTTATATGGGACTGTCCACACACATTGCAAGATATATAGCATCCCTTCTTCCATAAGTGCCAGGAACCAACTTTGCCATCACTGTGACAACCAAAAACAGAAATTGCCAAAAGGCAAACAGACATCCCCCTTCAAAAGCACTAATTTAAGTAAATGACTGAAGAAATATGTGTATTTATATATTAATTCATTCAAATAAATGGTTAATCTGAGTCTACTGTATGTCA